GTACTCTGACTGTTTATTCAGTATCACAAAACGTTTGCCCATTTTCTCTTGTGTCGAGCAAATGGCAAAGCAATCATGTATATACCTACAGTAGAGTAATGGCCGGAGATGGTGTTGGCTAGATGTGTACTGGTGTTTCCACCTTAGTCATAAAGGCAATGACAAGGTTTGCCTTTATGTCTAACTTAGTGCCAGTCGTTGTGCCATTTCTAAGCCTTTAATTTGCCTAATAGTCCCTGGTTCATCTGAAGATCGAATAGTTTAGGCATGTCTCTAGGAGAGCCATAAGCTGGTGAATGGAGAGGCGACACATGCTCATTGCGCCTTCGTGTTGCATACAAAGTTCGAGAAAGGCTTGCATAGCGGAGTCATTCGGTACGTTTTTATAAAGGTTGGTAACATCGAAGGAGAAAGAATCACGTAGGCGCTATTAGAACGCGCGTTACGTAGACGATCGAGGAATATCTGGAAGTTCGTTCAATGAGTTGGGATGTGTTTTAACGACTGGTTAAGTATGGTTAAAAACCACGTTATCGTATCTGTTGGACCATCTACATGGTTAATGAGGTCTAACGTTTAATAATAATGAAACGGTAAGCTTAGCACCATCAGTGGAAACTAACTTATGAGTTTTAGTAAATACCAGATAGGAGGAGACTCGCCGGTAGTTCAACTGTGAGTTAAGAAATAGCTAATGGTTTTAAGTCGGCGGCTTTTACCTCTTTGACGCATTCGTTGTTCAATTTCTGGACTTGACTTTTGAATTCGTTTTCGAATGATGAGTGCTAAAGAGAAGCACCTTCAGTCAAGATATTTTTTCATTGTTTCACCATCACCATGATGACGAATAACCACAACTCTCCACCCTTATCACTGACTGGTTATCTGTTTTGTTAACCTTATCGACCCACGAAATTTCTAATACTACATGATATACGGTATTTAAGACTGATACTTTAATGTGAAAGGGGTACATTACGCTCTCATGTGAGCTCTGTGCAGTTGGTCTTCGCGTGAAATACCAAGTGGAAGAATTATGGAAGGCGATGAGTTTGCTAAGAAGCTATTTTATCTAAAATGCAATCGAAATCTTGATTTTGTTTTTTTCTGCTTTGATTGTGGATTGCTTGGCTGAGTAGATTGCAGTCAACTTGACCTTTCCAGGCTCTGAAGAAGGCGAAATCCTCCGGAACGTCGGCTTTTTTCTGAATAAAGGGTAAAATGGCAAACTCGTTCCTTCTCACCAAGGAAAAAATGAATTATATTCATTATTATTATGCTCTTTATTTCTACGCCAAACTGTGGTAAGTTTTTGTTTAGCTGTTTGCTTATTTTTATTGAATGACCCGTACCCGTCATCACATTTCTTGCGGATACAGACACTTCCTTCATTCGATCTGATTCCTCGGATCAGTTATCAAAAAAGTTCTTCGAGTCCTGTCTGAGTTCGGCTACTGCTCAAGGATTTTGTCCTCGCTATGAATGCTCTTAAATGCTCATTGCGTAGATTCGCCTTCGAAGGACGGGAAACCCACGGAGAGTCCGAACCATTAGCGCTGAGCTTATTTTTGAGCAGCTTCTCTATAACTGCAACCTCGGCAACGTGAGATAGTACCATTAACAGTAATTTGTGAAGCAATCGACATTTGTTAATAACAGGCATCAGTTATTTAATTATTTGCACCATACTAGTGGCTAATAATATATTTATCAAAAGTTTAAAAAGTTAAATATCCAAAAAAGTAAGTGTATTTAATGATGCCGAGATATTGAGCCAGCACTAGCTAGAGAGACAGGCGAAACGAAGGACCCGCATGGTGTGATGGTGAACGCGTTACTCCCCGGAAAGGACAATAGCGCGTTCGTTCCCCACCGCATACACCTGCGGTTCGGAGTTTTGCAAATATCTCAGCATTTCATACGAGTTATATTTCGCAACATACCCTGCCTTTAAGAAGAAAAAGGCAGTAAATAAAAGGGTTAAGTGTATTTAGTTATTTATGTCAAACGTGTGCTTAGTATTATATTCATTAATACCCCACTAACTAAAGAAGTAATCAGTAAAAAGAACTGTCAGATCATATAAGAAAAGAGGGATAGGATTAACCTCTATAATAAATAGTTAGATGAGCAGTTTGCCTCGTTGATGATTCCCATATGCATCAGCGATACTACGATCTCCGTGAGCTTTTTTCTTGAGGAAAGCCATCTTAAGGTAAGCTGTCACTCTTAGCGGTATATCATCCAGAAATGGTAAAGGAATTTTCCCCAGTGGCGAAAAAGGTGTATAATGGCTCAAAAAAGGCTAAAGACGAATTTTGGGAGTGTTCACGATTTTCACGCGTAAATCCAGTTGCTGGTACACCAAAACTAATGATAGTTATCGTTTTCGAAGAAGGTACCTTACAAGGCGTCGGTCTATGGAAACGATTTAGAAGTAGCCTAGAGTGCTATTCTGGGTTGAGCGAAAACACAATTTGAGAAGCAAAATAACAGTCTGGTGAAAATTATGCCCAGGATCATACACGTCTTGGTGGCTACCCTTTTTATATACGACCTGCCCTCCGCATCTATTGTGCGGGACCCAGCACCTCTTGCATTCTATTCGCCTCCTCCCATCCAACCACGAAGGTCTTTCAACTATTATTGTGTGGCTTCGGCTACTGCTTGGAAATTTTCCTTTCATCATGAATGTCGTTGAATACTGGTCGAGTCGATCGATTCTCCCTGGAGCCATATGATAGCAGAACTAGAGCGCACTCATTTAAATTGCAGAGAACAAACTTTTCTCGCATAAGTTTGTTACCAATTTCCTAATCCAGGAGGGATGAGAAGCTTGGTGAGCATGAAACGAGATCGAGCCACCACCATGCACGTGATGATCGGCATTGCGGCAATTGTCGGACCCCTTCCGTGCTAATTGGTGACTATCTTCATCATCCAATTTCTAAGCCCCTGATGGAAACTATCCTTAAATTCTTTACACAGTTTTTCTATCTTGCTGTACTCTCTATAGTAAACGAAGGCACTTAGTATATCCAACAATATTGCAACTAGCTAATTTAAAAGATCGTCAAGACTTTTCGGACACATGTATTTCTGACGAACCAGTCGATGGATTGATAACGGTCAAAGATTTCTTGCAGAACTTTTTAAAACAAACCTCGGCATTCATATTTTTTACTATTCATGAGCTTGCTAAAGATTATCACAATTAGCTCTTTATTGTGGCTAACGAGTGGCCACCTTCGCCTTCCTCAGAGCCGTCGTAGTAATTCTAGCCGAGATTTTACAAAGCCTAATTCTAATTAAATAGATTTCTTTAGTAGCTGCTGTTACTTTGGTGGCAAATTTAGGTTAGGGAATGATTATATCGTTTTATTCTAACAGTCAACTTCATTTGCAGAAACAATTGATCGTCGTCAGTGTTTGTTCGATTCGGCAGCATATTCTTGCTGCTTGGGCTGTTCGTGTTTGTATAGCTCAGATAAATCAAATCCTGGTCTTTATTTTCTGCAACGCCTTTCACTTTTCACCCTGTTCCACCTAAGTTCTGTAATTGAAGTAAGGAAACAAGTTACAGTCGTGTCGGCATACTCATCTGATCAGCAATGATTCGAACACATTGACTCTATATAGAGAATCTCTATATCAAATAAAGCAACTCTTTCTGGTGCCACGACAGAGGACGTAACCTGACGACACCATGACTATACCTTGTGGTTGCCTAATGGCTTAACCAGGATTCTTTTATTAACATGCAGAATTGTTGAGTACATTTCTTAGCTAGACAGAGGACTCTCTATTTGACAGATAAATTCCCTATGCTCTATGCTCAACCTAGGCACTTCTTTACTGAGCTTTCGATCCTTCCAGTGGCTTTCTACCTCGTTATGAATGTACGGTCTTTCTTGATGTCGAACAGCGTGGAATCGACAGTCGGGGGTTTATTCATTCAGTCTTTGAAGATGGGAAGAAATCCCACATTCTCATCTAGAGACTCGAGTAGAAGTACAACAATGCGAAGAATGGAATCTCGGCATTTCTGGCAGCAATCTAGCCGCAAATCTTCCGCCAATCCACAATGGCAAGACTTCCTTTGATTACGACTTGCGTATACTCCAGTAGACTATTTCGAGATACTATCGAGCAAAAGTCCTACCCGATCATCAAATTACTACTCTAGTGGAAATTGTCTTAACCTTACAAACTTCATGGTAGAGACGGTCAATTCAACTAAGCAAGTATTAAGCCTTTAGTGAAGGCTAACTGATTAGTCATCTCAATAAGTGTTTTTTTTGAATGCCCAATTCCCCAGATGAATTCAATACTTGGGTTTCAGCTGCTCTAATGCGGCGCGTGATTTCATAGACATTTATTATAGTAGGATGACCTGTCAGTCTTGCTTTGCAACAAATCATCACCGCGTGATGCCATAATCCTGTCAACCGGCAACCTACTGCAGTTTAATCATTTTCAGCTTCTTCAAAGAAGATGAAAAGCTCGTGTATAAAACCATGGTAGTTTAAAGAGTAGAAATGACTTTCAACCAAGCGTTTTAAATTTTTGTCATTGTTTCGATTTCATCTAAACGAATAAGTCTCACTTACTCCTTAATTAAGGGTGCGTGTGGCGCAGTGGTCGGAGGCGCCCGACAATACACACGTGGAAACGATCTTCACGCCCATAGCCCACCAAGCCTTCTATTCCTCCAGGGTCGGCAAATTGGGACCAGACTCGTCTGTGATGATAGGAGCACTGGATCGATACAGTGGTAGGCCACCGCGAGTCATTGTAAAGGCCAGATATGCATTTAATCACCTCCAACGATAATTAATGAAGTCGAGTGCACGGCACATCCCCAGAGATTGATCAACGCTGCCAACTTTATTCTTTTTCTTTACTTTTTTGACTTCTTACTTAAATATATGACGTATTCAGTTAATTCTACATTTGAGTGTCTTGTTTCTACGATATTTAGTTCTCAAAAAGTTCAATTGATGGAGTGGGACAAATATCGTATGCAGTATGAGGGCTTATGGGCGGCTTCTTCTCATTATGGGTGTCTTGAGGTTAAAGGAACATCTCTCCACATTTTATGGTTATCAGTTAGAAGTGGATTAATCATATGTGGAAAACGATGAGAATGTTCTAATGTAACCGTTTTCCATTCAGTTATAAGTAAAACGTTTTCAGGAAGAAAAAAAAGGTGAGGCAAAAGGAGAACATGTAAACTCGTACCAAAGGTACATTTACCTGAATTCCATTGCCAAGGTAACCTGACTGTAAATGATTGAATTCTGTATCAGTGAGGAATGACAGACAGGTTTAAATGGGAGAAGATCATTGAGAACGACAGCACCCACTTCCTGAGAAACTGAAACTCTACATGAGAAAAAGTGCATCTTAGTGACTGTTCCCACTTTAATAATGATGATCGGAATGCCTTTAAATGACTCATTGCCCTATAAAGGTCTCAACGTCGACATTACTATGAAGTTCTTCTAATATCGCGATAGTAACTACACGTCATTGAGTTGGAGGCGGCGATTCAAGTCTTTACTGCTCGCATGTGTTGAAATGAAAGGCACATCGCCAACCTCTGTAACAACATAGAAGAGACTCCTCTGCTTAATATATCCGCAACTTGTTTTTCTACTGCCGTTGCCATCAACGGTTTCCGAATCAGGTTCTTAAAATTCTAGAATGTTCTTCACTCCTTTTTGAGCTTCATAAGCCCTTGACAGTCTTTTATCTTTTCAGTTCTTTATAAAAATTTTTGAGCAATTGTTGAAAATTTTTTAATGTTCTTTTCAGTACTCTTTCCCACATGCCCTGCAGTCTTAAAATCACATTTTTGCCATTCAGGTTTATTTCTTTTCTAGTTTGTCTCGTTCTGTCATAACCAAGAAACGTACTCATTCAATTCCTCAAATTTGGGCAAGGAGATTTATTGTCTACTTGGCTCACTCGTGCCACAAGTAGTGCTAAGTAAAGCTCTTTGGCGAGTATTCCTCTTGTTTTACAATCATAACTTTATTGTGTGCCATTTTCTTATAGTGCCGTTTCTCAATGGAAGCTTACTATTCATAAGGCAGCAAAATTAACCATTTCTCTCACTTTTTTCTTCACTTCGTATCATCCTAGAAGAAGGTTTCCAGTTCCTTTTCGTCTTTTTTACACATTATTTTATATTGCTTCACGCACTTCTTCTGTAAACGACTCGTATTTATCTCGTTCACGACACCATTGTTCAGTTACAGACGTTTCAAACTCGGCCAGTGATGCGGACGTGTATTCTGGTCCTCACCGTGGGTTTCGCGGCGGCCTTTGATTCAACCGAGACGCAGATACTCTACGATGATTGTAAGTTTACCGGAAGAAATACAATGAAACATCACCTACTAAACCTAGTGTACATGTGATCCGAGTCGAAAAGTTCGACTCTTTATGTTGACGTTAATCTAGGGCTATTCCACTGCTTTTAGCATGCCGTACTGTCATACGCACGGAGGTAGAGCTTCTTAATGTCTTGCCAATTAAAGCAATATCCGGTGCATATTAGAAATATCATTCCATTGAACTACGCTTCTATCTCTGTCGGCTAACAAATCACCGCCAGAGTACCTTCGGAAGCATGCCAGTAATGTGTTTGCTTTTTCCATTTCCTGTCAAAGCATGGTTGCCTTCCAACGGTCAAACGTCGCTGGGAAGTTTTCCTGGGTGTCGGGCTGGGATGTACAGCGGGTGGATTCATCCCTCCAGCAGGGTCTTCCAAGCTAAAAAGGAGTCCGGCGCTTTTATTAGGATGCCCAGCTAAGAGTAAACCAATACCAGGATTCACCACCGTTCTGGTATCAAAGGCGCATGGTGGCAAATCTCCCTCTCCACAAGGGCGCAACTTCCTGTGGTGGTGAAGACCTGGGGTAAAGTTTCGCCAGGCTGACCTTGGGGCTCCAGGGTCCCACAATAGCCAGTAAAATCCTGAAAAAATAGGATTTATGCTGGGCTTGCACAACCACTGAAGACGGGCCATCCAAGTATCCAAGCAATGTGTGATTAAAACAGTAACATGTTCCTCATTGTTGCACGCTACAATTCGTTGGAGAACATCCTCAGTAGAACAGGCCTTCACGTTGTTCTAACCGTCCGAACATCGTGGGTTAATACTCTTTGACGTTTTTATTTCATTTCTTGAAAGGCGCATTTTATCCATAGATCAATGAAAAGTAAAAAAAGAGAGAAACAGGAAGTAAAACGCGGCAAAGAAAGAAGGAGGAAGAGTAAAGGAAAGGAAGTATTTGCTGTTTGCTGAACGAGTGTGCAAACGGAAAAACGAATTAGTTCCGCTGGTAATTATTTTTGGTGGACCCGCATGGTGTGGTGGTGAACGCGTTACTCCACGGAAAGGAGAATAGCGCGTTTGCTCCCTACCGCAGACACCTGCGGTCTGGAGTTTTGCAAATATCTCAGCATCATTAAAGGTAATTGTCCTTGTTCACAGAGTTTATTTCTTCGCTAGACGTACTATCGTACTTGAAAAAGCTGGAAACAGAGAATAATTGGGTATAATTACAGCCAATAATTATCGTTCGTCTTACTATAGTTTCATGAGACGAAGAATTTATGAAGGGGAAAAGTTAGGCCTATATGAGACATCCGATAGAAATACGAATCTCTAATTAAGACTATAGCATAGCCCTTCGTTCGCCTCTGATAGATTATACAACTGAGCCTATGAATTTGGTAAAGTGGCTTTCTATGTAGCGAATTGGAGTTCAAAACTGGGCACAAGGTGACGATATAAGAAGAACAAGTGACTATGTAAAGTTAGATGAGCAGTCACACTTCCTTGCTTTGCCTTCTGTATGCAAGTACCCTTTTTCATTATTAGATTGCCAGTTGAGTAGAAGAGTGGAAATCTACAAATAAGTCACAAATCTTCTCCGAAAGAACACAACAAGATACTCGTGCTATGTCCACGTTTCAGACTTCTACAATCGTTCTGTACGTATCCTGTTGCTAAAAGCAATAGAATAGGATGCCTTATGCAAGAACTATGACCCTCTTTGTATCACTCAAGAAGGCATTTTTGATTAGGAATCTCTAGCACGCAGCAAGCTTAATAGAGACTTTAGTGATGCTCACTCAAACAACTTGATGACTAATTTGATTCTTAGGTGAACCATGCAACTTGTTCTTTAGAAATGTTGCCATCTAGCTATTTCAATTTACTCGGCTTATAATGACGTGTGTTGAGCTTTCGCTGTAGTTCGCTTATTCTAGTGGATTATGATAACTGACAACAAAGGGCGCGTTTGATCCTTGCAATTAACAGGAGATCTTTGATAAAAGACATTCATTTAATCACGGAATGAATCGTCATCACCTTGTTCTATTGGCAAACTCACGCAAGATAATTACAGAACTTTATTGCTTCTAACGTTTTCGCAGCACTTCCTTTCTTACAGCTACAATAGTTCCAGTCAACTGTTCATAGCGGTGCTGTCTTGTGGTGTATCAGTCTTAGTAGTCGAAACAAGTGTTGTTGAACGGTGAACTTTCAGTCACTAAAGGATTTCTGAAAAACTTTTCGTCGCTTGGAAGCATAAAAAGGAAATTAGAGCGTAGTGGTTAGGTATGCCCTGTAATACTCAATTTATTGGTGGTTCGATCCGAAGCCCATGACCACCAAACACTCCACCCTTTGGAGGTTAACAAGTTGGTCCAGACTTGTCTAGGCAAATTGGAACGCTGACCGAAATCATTAGTAGAGCATCGCATGTCATTCATTGTTTAGGATACGTTTTCACTCAATAACATCCACGATGCTTACGTGGTCGAATATCCCTCGACATCACAACAGGAGCTTTGTATTTAATCCTTCATATAAGCGCATAAATAAAGAAAAAATTCACGTTTGCCTCTAAATTGAAACATTCGGAAAAACTTCAAGTGATTTTGGAGTTTCTTTACGAATACACAATGTTTCGTTCATCTACCTGCTCTGAAAGGAGCGCGTATAGCGCAGTGGTCAGAGGTGCCCAGCAATATAAGCAGGCTTAATTCGACTCCCTTTGCTCACCAAGTCCTTCTGTCCTTCTAGGTTCGGCAAACTGCTTTCAGAGCTATCTGGGAGAGTAGGAGCACTGACTCCATACACTGATGGGCCACTACGAGTCATTCTATAGGCTAGATATACATTCAATCACCTCAAACGTAGTTTGATGAAGTCGAGTTTCTGGCACGTCCCCCAGGGATTGATCAACGCTGAGAGACTCATTCTTTATCTTTTTAAATCTTTTTAAGATGCTGTATAACAGTAGAATTGCCTACATTGAATTCACCTGGAAATTCTCGAGTAGACGTGGATGTACCTGCTATCAGCGTCTGGCGTAGTTCCAGCGTTCACAGAGAAAAACGTTTCCGTGGGGCACGCATTTCTTGAAAAAACGATGAGAGCTTGTCAAGTCATTGTTCGGTAACGTTTTTTTTCTCATCTTTACATCGAGATTAAAATCTTCTAGCGAATATAGGTGAATTTAACTTCTTCAGACGCTCCCGACAAACTTTCTCAGCTACAACCTCTTCTACGAGAGGGGCGCTCGTTTGATGTGAGTCCTAAAATTCGTCTAACCGTTTTAGTTTACCAAGAACAACTAAGTATAAAAATTTAGCAATGTAGATAGTATAGTGTTCATTAGAGAAGAATGACCTTGTTTGCTTCAGAGCAATGCAGGTCCGCTGATTCGATTCGGCAAACGTGATCCGTACAGTGCACCATTTATTCGGTAGGATATATCTTAGAGTAGCTTTGATTGCTCTTTTCATTTGATCAATTCCAAATTTAGATTCGGCCGAGCACCATTGGCCCAGCCGCTTATCCGCTTTGGAAAAAGATCGCCTCATAGTGCTCCACTTATTCGGTATGTTTGCTAAGGATTAAACAAAAAGTTACTAGAATGTGAAGTTATTAGGATGCTGTGATACTAAATTATTTGATGAGATAAGAAACTAACGTACAAAATTTTTGAAAGTTGGAATTTCCATTACCAAGTGAAAATGTACTCACTTTTTTGAAAGAGTACTTTGTGAAATACAACCATAACGTTGCTGAGATATTTGCCAAACTCTGGACCGCAGGTGTCTATGGTCATCATGAGTATTGACACCGCAAGAAACACAAAGTCCCAAATGTGCTGCGTGCAAGCTCTGTGTGGGGAAGACAAAGTGGGCGAAGCCTATTGTACCCAATGTATTACTTCGTTCAAAAGCAGTTAGTCCTATCACCGCATCATTTTTTTTATAGCTTCAATGATGCTTAGATATTTGCGATACTCCGGGCAGGTGCCTGTGGTAGGGAACGAACGCGTTATTGTCCTTTCCGGGGAGTAACGCGTTCACCACCACACCATGCAGGTCCTTTGTTTCGCCTGTCTCTCAGCTATTTCTATCGATCTTTGCCACAGCAATCACCCACATTGTGTGGTGGTGAACGCGTTACTCCCCGGAAAGGACAATAGCGCGTTCGTTCCCCTCCATAGACACCTGCGCTCCAGAGTTTTGCAAATATCTCAGCAACCCCGAGGTGTTACTATTCTTTGTTCACGATTAAGCTGACGTTTCGGCGGATTTCGCCTTCTTCAGAGCCTGGAAAGGTCAAG